CTGGTGTACTTCGTTCAGTTACGTATTACTCTCCATCTACGTTATGCGCAGACAAATTAATTTTATCTAACATTTTTCTGTTTTAGTTTAAATGATTTTTAAGTGAATTGAAAATCAATGTAACAAAAAACGGTTCAATTGCAGATTTAGCTATCGGAATTCCGTATGTTGTTATCACCATGAGGGAGGTGGAGACGAAATATGGGCCCTCGATTACTTGTGCTTTAGAGACGGAGAACGTGGTGGCGGGATAATAAATGTATTCTTCCTAAGTCGATTGAGGTGTCGGGGGCCAAAATTATACAGTATAATTTAGGTAACGTATGTCCAGTTTCGTTGATTTATAAAGGAAAGCAAGGGGGACGATTTGTTATAGATTTCGAATAATTTGAAATCTATAAAAGACGCGTCGTTCTCCCGCTGCTTTTATAAATATATAATGTATATTTTTTAAAAATAAAAAATTAGTTAATTAATACTCATTTATATTTATTTCAATCCTATAATTTTAAAATCAAATGCAAACGAATTTTATGAAGCTCGGTTTATGAATAATGCACATTTAACAAGCTGTATAATACAATTATTATAATTTGTATTGATAAGGTTTAGTATATAATACACATTTAATAGTTGTATAATATAATTATCCGTTTGAAATAAGGTAGTTTTGAAAAAAACATTTTATTTAATATCCAAGTAAATAAGAATATTCTGATATTTTATTAGACTGATAAACGGAGAACGCGGTGGCGGGATAATAAATGTATTCCTTCCTAAGTCGATTGAGGTGTCGGGAGCCAAAATTATACCACATACAAAAATGAATTTTATGAAGTTCCATTAGAAAATAAACAGGTATTGAAATTGGTCCATATTTATGATGTTCCGCATCTCATGAAGTGTGTCAGGAACAATTTGATGACTAAAGACTTGATGTATGATGTTGTTGGTATTAAGAAACAAGCTAAATGGTCTCACTAGGTAGAGTTATACAATGTAGACAGTTTAACACCATACTGTAAATTGTTGCCAAGACTTACAGATCAGCACATCATTCCTGAGAAAGTTAAAAAAATGAAAGTGAAACATGCTACACAAGTGTTATCACAACAAGTAGCATCCACAATGAATTTTATAGCAATGAAGTACAGCATATACACATACTTTTTAGTTTTTTGTTATGTCATATTCATTATTTTGATGTTTTAGTAAAGAACGATGTACTTTACTTACGACAAAAACCAAAAACGTGCAGCAATACAACTACAACACCAACTTAACTTGGCGGCCACTTGGTTTCACAGATGGCGAATCAAAATAAACGCGACCAAAACTGTAGGTATCATTTTCGGACGTTCGAATACCACCATTACTACTCAACAACCACCCCATTAGCTGGTCCAACCAAGCGAAATACCTCGGTGTTACCATCGGACGCAAGCTCACCTTCGGCAAACACATCCTTAACATAACAAAAAAAGGCCACCCTCACCCGAGGTATGCTCTACCCCATACTTAACCGTACTAGCCCCGTCCCAATGACAACTAAACCGACCATTCTTAAACTTTACGTAGTTCCAATTCTAACGTACGCTGGCTCTTCGTGGGCACCTTTCATAGGTTCCTCACAATGGAAACGCATAGAATCCGTCCAAAACATCGGCATACGCACTATAACGGGTATGCCCACTTTCGTCAAAAACTCGGTCCTTCTAAAATCCACAAATTTCAAATCTATTCAAAATTCAATTCGTTCCCAAACCAACTCAATGTTCTACAAAAACTCTTTCTCAGATCACGCCCACATCCGACTTCTAGGCAATTTTTATTAATTCTAAGATGTTTACACTTTGCCGAAAATCCACCAACTGGAGACCCAAAACTTGATGACCCCCTATATAAAATTACACCATTGTTTGACCTATTTCATAACCGAATGAAACAAGTATATTATCCTACCAAAGAGTTGAGTTTAGATGAATCTATGCTCCTTTGGCGTGGACGTCTCTATTTTCGACAATATATTCAAAATAAGAAACATAAATTCGGCATAAAATTTTATGTGCTTACTCAACCGGATGGCCTTGTCCTAAAGACAAGGATTTATTGTGGATCAAATGATCCATTTGTGGGTGGTAAAGGCCATGTTGACAAAGTTGTAAAATATTTGCTCAGAGATTATTGTGGAGTGGGACATTCCGTCTATATGGACAACTTTTATAACTCCGTTGATCTTACAGAATATTTATTAGACAAAAATACATACGTTACAGGGACTCTTCGTGAAAATAGAAAGGGAAACCCATCAGATGTCGTAAATAAGAAACTAAAAAAAGGAGAGTTGACATCTGCATATAACAATAAGGGGACTTGTGTTATGAAATGGCATGATAAAAGGGATGTGGTAATTATATCGTCAGAGTTTGGCGATGCTATGCATGAATACCGGGCAAGAAGTGGCAAAATATCAGTAAAGCCGGAGTCTGTACTAAAGTACAATAAATTTATGGGTGGTGTAGACCGTAGTGACCAACTCATGAGCTACTATCCTTGTGAAAGAAAAACACTAAGGTGGTATGCAAAGATCGCGTTACATATGTTTCATGTAATTATGAATAATGCAAAAAAATCCAAATATTGTCGACGCATAGTCGACACCAGCATCCGAGAAAAAAACTATTGTATGATGCTGACGTCGACTACGCGTCGACAGTCGTTTTTTTTAGTAAAAAAAGTAAAAAACTGGTAAAAGTAAGTACTGATATAAGGAAAGTAGAGTAAGAGGAACCTTTTCGACAAATAAAAATGTCCCGCATAGGGGGGTCGCTCAGTTCAACCAATGCCGCAGTCAACGTGTTAAAACATTTATCCTCTAAAAAAGTTGGCGCTTGTGGAACAGATAAGGCAAATAGAAAAGGTATGCCAAATTTATGCAAAAATTTAAAAAGAGGAGAATGCAAACTGGCAATTACCAAAAAATCTAAAATTCTAGCTTTCAAGTGGAAAGATAAAAGAGACGTATTAATGTTGTCTACTACACATAAACACCAAATGAAAAAAATAAATAAAAACGACAAACTACAAATAAAACCGAACTGTATACTTGATTATAATACTAATATGGGATTAGTTGACAAAACTGATATGACGATGAGTTTTAATGGCACAATCAGAAAATCTGTCAAGTGGTACAAAAATTTTTTTTTTTCATCTATTGGATATAGCAATTCTTAACTCTGGAATAATATATAACAAACTTATAGATAAGAAATTGAGTCTGCTAGTTATCGACTTCAGCTGATAACCCAAATTTTAGAAAAACATTCTACACAACGATTAAATTTACCAGGCAGAAAGTCAACAAATGACAATCCTACTAGGCTTGCAGCACGCCACTTCCCATCAATTATAACATCAACAGGCACAAAAAAAATGTCACGTCCATTCTCATACACTGCTTACTCAAAAAAACACGAAAAGACACCAAATATGAGTGCAAAGAATGCAACAAACCATTATGTCTTACCGCCATGTTTTGAAGCGTATCATACTAAAAAGAAATATTGAAAAAATTACACTTAGTTACCTACCTATTGTATATTTTACATTTGTTTAAAAAAATTGTTTTTGTTATTTACCGTAATTCGGATAAATTATTTATATTTACTTATTTCTAAATCGAGATTGAGGTACCTACAGGAAAAAAATGTTTACACATAAAGTTCTATGTTTAGTTTTTTATTTTATTATTAATTTTTATTTTAATTTCTCAACATGTTATATTTTAATCAAGAATGATGTTAAAAACTTTATAATACTATTATGTACTTTTTATGTTTGATTTATTTTTATTTTACATAGTGAGTTATAAATTGTATTTTATCAACAAATAACAATTATCATTTATCTTGTTAGTTGTCATTTTATATTGAATTATTTTTTTTTATTAAAATTTAACCTTGTTTTTTTTTCTATTCAGAAAATAAAGAAATAAAAATTTAAATACAATGTAAGTATATTTACATATACACACTTTTTACTAAAAAGGTAAACTGAAATCTAATGTCAAAAAAATGATAGGACGTATATTTACGTCTTTACTAAAATACCATACCGGTATCTTATTTAAGACGTAAATATACGTCTTTACTTTAAATAATTTGTCCAAGTTGGTCATTCCTAATTTACTCCCTGTGTGTAAACTAATAAATCCCAATTCACTCTCCAAAGGGTTAACTCTTGAATTCATTATTTAATAAGGAAACTAGTACACACTGCACTGTACAGAATAGAGATAAAAACTAAAGGGAAAAAAATATTTCGATGTTTTAAACATCGATGGTTTTACACTGATATATCGAACACATCGATATTTCAAAAGACGATGTATCGATACATCGGAAATCGATGTTCAAACATTTTTGCCCATCCCTAAATTGTAACTATAGTCGGGGACACGAAAACTGGAGTGTGATCTTCGTTGTACACCGACGCTCACTCTGTCTGCAAACAATGGTTCTCAATTTGCACTATTATAAAACGAGTATTTTTAAAAAAGCACAACGATTGGTTTTAGCCGTTTAAGAACCCATTAGACGATTTAACCGCTTGGATCGCGTCGGTCACACGCCACTTTTCGTGGCCCCGACTATAGCGTCCGCAGTCCCATAACTCTCTCCCCTCTCCCCCTCGACCGTCACTCACACAACCGAACCCGTCGGGCTTCGCCTGCCGACATGGTCGTCGCGTCCCGCTGCCGAGCAAACGCACCAGCGACACTCGTCCGCCTGCGGGACAGGCCGTGAAAACGTTGCCGAGGGTGACCAGTGGCCTATACTTTACTCCCTGTTAACGCTCTTTACGCCCATTTCGCCATCTCGTATCCCCCATCCTGGTTTATTGTGTCGTCCTTCCGATGTATTTCCCTCCCCCTTTCACTCTTTTTGTTTTTGATATTGTTCAATGCTTTTTTTTCCTTTTTCTTAAATCAATTTGTCTTTTATTCCTATTGACACGTATTTTGTTTTAATTAAATTTTCTCACACGTTCAGCCAGACTTTAAAAATGCTACATTTTTTTTTTTCATTGTAAAATGTGTATTCATTTTGAATTTTTTCAAAAAACGTTTGTTAAAAAAAATTTAATAAAATTAAAAATTGTTCACGAAAAAAGTTTTATTTACTATCGTATTGTATCGATTATATAAATCGTTACAAAATTTACAACTTGGTGTCATAAGATAGTTAAAATATCATACACTAAAGTCTATAACGTAATGAATGGTTCGAAAATCGAAACAAAACAATTATGTCATTTCATCATATAGATCACGGCTTCAGATAAAACTATCTAGTCTAAACTTTGAATAAAACATAAAATATGTAGAACATGAAAAAATACCCGAATTGAAGGAATAAAAATATCTATCGTAATATTATGAAGGCTTTTGAAGTAGCTTTATTTGTTTTAATACTTCAATATGAGGCGTGTAGAACCATATCGGCCCAATCCACAAAAAATCAAATTGCGTTTTATTTCAAAATATGCTGCAGAATTATATTTTATTTCAGTGCAAAATTGGCCCAACCCTATAAAAAAATTTATTCTCTAGATAGCAGCACATACTTCGTTTTGTTATCAACATTTTAATAATAACTTTGGGGCAAAAATGGCCCAACCCAATGATAGATGAATAGGCTGTTTTGATTTCTAAATTTAACTCAGTGATTGTGGAATAAGTTATTATTGTATTTGATTTTATTTTTATGACAGTGTTGGCTGATAATAATAAAACTATTTACTATCAAAAATGTTGTTTTACACACTAATTACTACTACATTAGTCTTAAATTAACAAAATTCAACAGTTTTATAATATTAATTATTACCAAATATGAACACAAAAGAAATTAATGATGTTCTCCAAACTGGTAAGTGAAATTTATATACCTATATAAATAAATAAATAATTTTAATGACTTATTGTAAACAGACTCTGAAATGGAATTTTCCGAGGATTCTGGTTCAGATTATGTACCACCCAACATTGCTAATCGATCATATGCCAGTGATTCAAGTTTATATGATATTTTACCACCCAACTCTCCTAATCGATCACATGTCAGTGATTCAAATTCAGATGATAATAATATACCATGTGTTCCAAAAAAGCGTTCAAGAAATGTACATCTTTGGAAAAAAAATGTTAGAAAAGCTAAGAAGATTCGTGGAGAAGCTCATATTGGTGCTACAGGAAAAGTAAATAATGCAAAAACGTTTGAACCAATAATTTGTAAGTGTTCTAAAAAATGCCACAACTTTATATCTGATAATAAACAAAAAGAAATCCACAATACATTTTATGATTTGAGTAATTATGATTTACAAACTTCTTTTTTATTTTGTCTTATTAAAGTAATTAATAAAAAGAGAACATATAAAGAAACTGTGAATAGCGAAAAAAGGTCATTTTCTAGAGAATACTATTTACCCATGGGTGATGGCATTGAATTAAAAGTGTGCAAGATGTTTTTTAAAGAGTTATTTTCAATATCTGATGGTAGAATTACAAGACTTTTGATACCCAAACTTGTTGGAGGTACTCCACCCCTAGACAAAAGAGGTAAACACTCTGGCAACAGAACAAATTACATACAAATTAATAAAGTTAAAGATTTTATAAATAAATTTCCTAGCTATGAGTCACACTATTCAAGGCTAAAAAATTTAAATAGGAAATATTTGTCCCCAAATTTAAATTTGAAAATAATTTATAATCTTTATAAAAGTGAAGTCTCAGAGCCAGTTTCTTTTTATGTTTTCCAAGATGTGTTTAACAAACAGTTTAACTAACATTTTCATGCGCCAATATCAGATAGTTGCAAAAAGTGTGATTCTTTTAATATGAAACTTAAATTTTTAACTAATGATGAAAAATCTATTATTGAAAATGAAAAACAGTTACATCACAGGAAGGCTGAAAAAGCCAGAGAAGGTATGAAATTAGATGCTTCAGAAGCCAAACTATACAATATTATTACATGCATTGCATTTGATTTAATGAAGACATTAGCGACTCCCATTGTTTCCACTGGAATTTGTTATTACAAAAGACAGTTATGGACTTATTGTCTTGGTATCCATGATCTTGCAACTGATAATGCAACCATGTATGTTTGGGATGAATCTATAGGTTCCAGAGGTCCTCAAGAAATTGGTTCTTGCATTTTACATTATGTAAAAAATTTTGTAACTTCGACTTAACTTGTAATGTATTCAGATCAATGTGGCGGTCAAAACCGCAACATAAAAATGGCTACTTTATGTAATTACATTGTTGCTAGTACATCATTTAATGTAGAGGAAATTGACCACAAGTTCTTACTTAGTGGTCATTCATATTTGCCCTGTGATCAAGATTTCGGATTAATTGAAAAAGAAAAGAAATTCCACCCAGATGTACATTTACCGAATGACTGGATAACAGTCATACTATCTGCAAAAAAAAAAAAACCATTTAAAGTTGTCAACATGACTTCAAATGATTTATATTCAACAAAGTCATTAGAGAGACAGATAACCAATAGAAAAACTGATCTAAATAAGGAGAAAGTGCAATGGCTAAAAATTCAATGGTTAAATTACAAAAAAGAACAACCGTTTAACTTTAATTACAAGTATTCTAATGATACAGATTACCCTTTTTATTGCAATTATATTGGCAAAAGAAACTCTAACGTTCAAAAATACACAGAAAATTTAGATCTTTTATACCCAAATGGTCATACTATAAGTCAATTAAAAAAAAAAGATTTGATTGAACTTCTCCCATTTATCCCACCTATAAAACACCAGTTTTATTTTGATCTCAAAACAGATAGAAATGATGATGACGGTTATCCATTTATTGAAAATGAAGATGTAGAAAGTGAAGAACTATAAGTAACAAATTGAAATGTTAATAAAGTAATAAACTTTTGAAGTTGATATTGTTTTTTTTATTAATTTTAGACCAAAATAATAAGGCTGATTAGTGATTATTTTCTTATATTATTAATTTATTACTAAACCTAGGATATGGTTTTGAACAGTTTTTGATTTTTCAGTTTTCTTATTATGTTTAATTAATAATGTTTATTAAACTATAAATTAGTAAGCAATTTATGTTAATGTTATAATTTTGAAATTAAAATTCTACCTACCTACCTACCTATTTCATTTTAACACAAATAAAATGGCTGATTATTTGTTGTGTATTATATAGGTATGCATTATTAAACCTATTAGATTATCTAGATTATCAATATAATATATCATTTTGGATTATGCAGTTAGTGTAATTGAGTTTATATTATATTTCAAATAATTTAGATTTTAGAAAATTATAATTTTATGTTTTATGAGATAGGCCATTCCACAAATTTATAATTTATTCAATATTTTCTAAAATAAAAAGCCCAACCCACATTAAATCTTAAACAAATTGAAGATTATGATGGTTCTATACATGGTTGAAAAGGCATTAATTAACTTATATTTATGTAACTACATAAATTTTATTTGAGTTAATCCTAAAAAAAAAAAAAATATATTAAAAAAAAAAAAAAACTTTGATTGCCTATGTTGTATAATTTCACTTTTGAGGGTTAGGCCGATATGGTTCTACACGCCTCATATATAACATAGTAAATAAACAATTCATTTCCTTAAAGTAATAAAATTGTATGAGATGGGCTTATAATAATATTATCATTGTTGTTACGTGTTTCATATCCGTGAACATGTATCTATACTATGATTTTCTGTTGACAGAAAAATAAGAATAAACAATAATTATAGCTCGTATAAAAATACATAATATAGACATGTATAATGTTGTTCTATTATATTATTCAAAATATTTTTTTTTTTAATAAAAAGTTTATACCGATTACATTTTTCGATTACTTTGATTTATTTTAACTTTATGAAAATATCTATTTATGATAAGTATAAATATACCATAAATGAATAACATAATACCAAAAAACTAGGATGGATGTAATGATATTCACATTATTACGCCACTCAGCTTCATAATCTAATATCATCATAATATTGTCAACTATTAAGAATACTAATGTGTAACAAACAACTGTATTTATTAACAATAATTTCATAAATCAAAACCCATGACATTATTCTACATACCTAGCCCATTATTAAAATAATTAAATTATATACATATATATATCAATTTAACTAATAAATGTGAAGAACTCAATTATTAGCAATATATTGAATAATAAACCAAATAACAAGCAAAGAATTATTTATTTTCAATTACCTATTATTATTAGTATCTTTTATGATCAATGTTTAATGTATACATAACTAATTAAAATAAAAACTAAAAAAAAATAATAAACCCAAAATAAAATGTCACATTAATTTAAGATCAATAATGATTAGATTCTAGTACTAATTCAAAGCTGTTATTGTTTAATTAATCAACTATAAGAAAATTTTGCAATTAACTAAATAATTGATCTAAAAATTAATTAATAAAAAATATTAATTAGGTATATTTTAAATTTAGTAATCATGGAAATCAGTAATCTGGTGTACACAACTTCTGTTAGGTGTTTACTCCTCAAATTATATAATGTATAATATAATTATGGCAATAAATATTTGCAAAACATTATGAACTTTAATTAGTTACTTCCTCTAAATTAATATTCTAATTTATTCTTAATAATGTATTATTATAGATTCTAATTTTTTTATTATTGGTACCAAAAAATTACTTTATACTTGTATTTGGTCATGAAATATGACAAAATCATATGAATACTTATAATACATCACAAATATTATGTATATAAACTATTAACAACATATGTTACATTAATATACATTACAAATTATGTATATATTTTATTTCATCACAACATTAATTTTCATAAACTTTAGAGGACACAAAGGCACATCAGAAGCTCTTATATATACAGTCAATTTTAAGCTTAGAGAACGCAATGTCATGCCAGAGGCTTAAACATCAACTGTCAACATATGTGAATCATATTTTAAGTTGTGGCTAAAATAAATATTTTTTATAATAAGAACACAACTAGTAGTAGCAGATTTTAAGTTAATATATTGCATACAAGTAACAGTGAAATATAAAAATGCACATGTCACAAGTTATATAGGTACCTAACTTGTCAATAGACAATAAATACAATAATGTCAATAGATGATTTTAAGTAAAATTTTGGTACACACTAATAATTCATTTTTTTTTATTAGATATCAATAATAACACATATTCAAACTTGTTTTAAGTAGTATTATTAATTTTCATTGTTATTAAACAATTATACAATATTATTACATTAGGTATTTTAAATTTAGTTCATAATCAATTGCAAATATTTCCAAATTATTGTATGATAACAACTGCCAACTAATTATTATTTGAATAGAGTGTCTTTACTAAGACTGTGAAAATGAATATGATAGGCATATGGTACAAATGTTGAATTTTATTCTTGAAGTCACCAATTAAAGTACCTGATATTTAATTGCATTGATAAACATACCTTAGTATTATTAATTAGTTTTTACTTTCATTACTGTAGGGCCCAGATTATTAGTTTAAAAACTGCAAGTTTCAATAATCATTGTGAAAAGTATATAAATCGTCTGCCGCAGCGAAAAATGTCGTATCTCACTTTTTTTTCATTTTCGAGTTACAGCTGTATTCGAATAAAGAATAATTTTCTTTACTACCCACGAAAACGGTCATATCTCTAGCAACCCAAAAAGCTTAGAAAAACAATTTAATTACCAACGAAAACAGATGTATGTTTAGATACGACTTTTGATAAGAGACATTACCCGCGAAAAACGGCGTATATCATATCACAAATATAGTGATTTCAATTATTATTAATATTTTGTATTCAATATTTAATTGTGAGACTGTGAGTAGCTTACAAGCTTACTAGTTGCTACTAAAGAGTCAATCAAAAACCAATTAGGTACAATAGGATATTAATATGGACCTAAGCGATTCTGACTGTGATAGCAAACTGGATACCTAAGTTTGTGGGAATATGAGTAGTGATCCCGATGAGGATAATGAGATTAATAATAATTGTAATATCCCAATACCAGATCAAGTAATATTAATATAACTAAAATATTATAAAAATGTATTTTGTTATTCTTAGATAATAATAATAATATGCTTATAATTTATATTATTATTATATTGATTCTTTAACTACATGGTTTATTTTGCATTGAGAATAGTGGTTCAGATATTTATGATAGCGACAAAGACCCAGAGTACACCCCTCAATTAGACAATTTAAGTGTAGTCAATAATGATAATACTTTTGTAAATTATGACTATGGAGTTGGTGATAATGATAATATAAATGATATAAATTATTCAAAATCTTATTAGAATTTAATAATAATAATATATTATATTAAATTATTAGTAATAATGGTCCAAATAAGTAAACAAATAATTGTTGTAATAATATTATTATTATGTAGTTTTGAATTCATAATACTTTTGTTATTTGTTAATATTTATTCAAATTATTTGTTAAGATAATATTATACTAATAAATAATATAATATATTATTATATTTTAATATTATCACATTTTAACAAAGGTACCTTTTTTAATATTTTATAGGTACATTTTGTATTTTATTTTGTTATGGTAGAACCCTAGTAATGTGGATGTTCCAAATAAAAAAAATAAAATGTGTTATGACTCTCAGTGAAAAACTTCAGAGGAAGCGTCTGAGAAATGTTCCTAGCTGGAAGGATGTTAAACCAAAAAAAAAAACTAAATTTAGGGTTGGAGCATAATAAAAGATCAGATAAAAATGAAAGTGCAAAAACCATGGGTCTACCTTGTAAATGCAAGATGAAATGCTTTGATAAAATTAGTAAAAATATGATATATACTGGGGTTTAGAAGACCATGTCCGACAATGAGATTTTAAAGCCAGATGTGTAAGGATAAAAGAAAAAAGTAGCAACCACATCATCAAATCTAATATTATATCAAGCCTCAAACACTGAATTAGATCAAGAAACTAAGGCACGCTTTGGATTAGGTGGATCAGTTGTTCTGAAATTGAGTGAATAGCTAAAGAAAAATAGGCACATATTATATTTTAATAATTTCTTTACATCTTATAACGTATTAAATGCTCTTCAAGATCAAAAAATATATGCAGCTGGTACAGCTAGTCAATAGATTTGGAAATCCACCTTTGATAACAGATACAAATTTAATATTTTTTTTTCGATACCTATTTTATAATTACTTAACTATGTACCTATAATAAATATGAGTTTTGTTTGTATTAAATTATTTTTATTTTATTAGAATATATTTGAACAAAGTTTAATCAGAGGTGTGTTTAACACCGCATTGGGAGCGTTGTCCCTAGCGGAAAAATTTTAAAATTGTTTATATACAGCATTCGTATTTGTGCTTCATAACTACTTTTAGTTACAAAATAAACAAAGATTTTGAATTCTTTAACTTGGAAAAAAAATATTAAAAATATTTTTATATTCGATACTAAGTCGCATTTAGACATAAGACAGTTATTTCGCCATATCTGTTCTTTTTTTATGAAATTTTACTCAAATCGGTATTTTAATTCGATTCGATACTTTTCTTCCGATACCTACTCATATCAGTTATATTTAAATCATATCAGTATTTCTATTCGATTCGATACCAAGTAAAAGTATCGATACCACATCCCTAGTCGCCCGTTGGCCGTTATCATTAGTAGAAAATAAAGGATTTATCAATTTAATGAACGTTACTTCACCAAATTTTAAAATTCCTTCTAGAAGGGATATTTCCAGACGTCTAGAAGGAAAATATAAATTATTTCAAGATTTATTTAAAAATGAACTAAATAAAGTGAAATACATATCACTTACAATGGATATATGGACTGATATACACACTCAAAGTTACCTTGGAGTTACTGTTCATTTTGAAAAAAATAGCAAGTTGGCATCTGGGTTATTAGGTGTGATAGATCTCCAAGAAAGACACACATCTCAGTACATTGCTGATACATTAAATGAGGTATGTAAACAATGGGACATTTCTTTAGAAAACATAACTGCAATTGTTACTGATGGAGCTGCGAACATAACTAAAGCTGTTGATTTATTGTTTGGAAATCCCAATAACAAACGTCATATACCATGCTTTGCCCACACACTAAACTTAGTAGCTCAAAATGCTATCTCCAGTGTCACTGATTTAAGTTTACTTATTAATAACGTAATATCAATTATAACATGGTTTAAACACTCAGTAGTAGCCAGTGATGAACTAAGAAAAGTTTCCAATAGTAAACTTATTCAAGAAGTTCCAACCAGATGGAATAGTACATTTTAAATGCTTAAACGATTTATTGCTCTACGTCCATTCATAAATGATATTGTAAATCGTAATATCTCAGATCCTACAATGGTTTGTGCTAAGGATATTGAAGAAATGACCGAAATAATTACTGTTTTAAGGCCATTGGAAGCAGCCACAAAATAATTATGTGGTGAACAATATGTTTCAAGTAGTATGGTTATACCAATTGTGCACATATTACAAACAAAAATTAATGAGGCAACAACAACTCAAATTCTTAGCACTCAACTTAAAAATGCATTAAAATTAGAGTGTTCAAAGCGACTAGGACAAATAGAAAATGTTTCATTTTTAGCAATTGCTACAATATTAGATCCTAGATTCAAAAAAATGTATTTTAAAAATTCAGTCTCATTATCTAAAATGTTAACTAAAATATCTGAAGAAATCAAGTCGTATGAAGGAACACCTGAAAGTTCATCTGATTCTTCTGATTCATCTCGTGAGTAGTAAAAAATATTATTTGTCATGTAGGTAATTTATTTATTAAAATATATTATTAATTTTCAGAAAATAAAGAATTTAGTCTATGGAATAACCACGAAAAAATTATTCAACAAAGTAGCCGTAGTCGTGGGCGAGCCACAAGAGATGAAATTGGTTATCCATCTGAACTATTACTATGGAATGATATGTTCACAGTTTATCCTACTCTGTCCAAAGTAGCTTTAAAATATTTAAGCACAGTAGCTACTTCGGTACCTAGTGAAAGACTTTTCTCCAAAGCCGGCTTGACTATGAATCAACAAAAAAACCGTTTGACTAGCAAAAAATTTAAATATGCTATTATTTTTACAATCTGTGGATGAAAGTTTTTGGGAATTGTAATAATTAATTAGATTTGTATTCATTTATTATTATTTTCACATTATTGTTAGTCTTTATTGTATTTTAAGATTTAAAACTTATATAGGTTAGGTTATATTTTATTGTATTAGATTAATTTTACATAACAGTTTTTTATAATTTACAAGTATTTTGCATGTATTTAAAAAAAATAAAGTTGAACAATGGTATTTTAACTCTTGAATTCATTATTATTAAGGAAACTAGTACACAGTACACACTGCACTGTACAGAATACAGATAAAAAGGTGTGCATCAGATATTAGCCCTAAAGGCTGAAGGAATAAAAAAAATTTTCGATGTTTTTAAACATCGATGGTTTTACACCGATACATCGGTTTTTCCAAAAACGATGTATCGATACATCGAAAATCGATGTTCAAACATTTTTGCCCATCCCTACTAGTCATGATTCATAAGGATGAATACGGGCGATGACAACCACACATTCTGTGATTCGCAAATTCCCGATGATCAAAAAAATAAAACGTCGAAAAACCCAGTTAAGAGGAGGGGGGAGAGTGGACTGTATAAATCAGAACCAAATTCGTTAAATAATTGTAAGGTAATGAATGAGAGGTTGCTCTAACAACAATATGAACAACTTAAGAGTTAAAATGAATAAAAGATTTAATGCGCGTCGATCACAACCGATCGACGAAGACAATCGAATATACAGTACAACTTAATATATATACCGACAAATAATAATAATGACAATTATTTACTATTACTAATAATAATAAAGAAAGGCGCGCGTACGACCTGATTATTGTTGATGATGTGGAATCGTTGCTGATGGACAATGGTGGAAAATTGTTGTCGGCAGTGGACCCGCAGTCACTTCGCGAATGTAAATTCAGTTGACGAAACAGAGTGGTAGCACCACGATTCGCACTGCGTAAAAAACGGACGGGCGGAAAACACGTGGGCACGCAAACGAGGGGACTTGACCCGATAAAACTTCACGCATATGGCGATTGGTATCGCGGCACAAAACGCGGAAAAATAGCTATGTAACGGTTACTCGCGAAAAAGGATCATCATGTTTATATGATTGGAATGACTAAACGGGTTAAGGGACCATAAAAAAATTAATGGCGGTATTGCCGACGACATGACACCGGATTGTGCTCAGTGCTCACTGACCACTGTTATAGCATACAGCTATAGAAATTATAGAATGGAGACGATTGCGGCGGGGGATCGGCGACGGATCGTCTAGTCGTGCGATATCGTCTCTCACACAAGGGGTACAAAGGTCGAAATGCGCGTCGTGTCTGGGACAGCGCTACAGCACGACAACGTTGCCGCACGGAATGTTGTGGGCGTTGTGGCAACACCGATGCAGGCCAAAAAAATTGGTTTTTTTATCCAACTGTTCGAACGCGGTACGATTGCCGCCAAATAAGCTTTACTGGGACATTTCAAGTGTGGCGGATTGATAATATAAAGTCCCAGCAAGCTCCCCCCTCTAGTGTCCGGCGAGACCAGGCCATTAGCCATCGTGTCGGCCGACAAGCTTATCTTGTATTATTATATTCGTTTGTCTTTGGACTTTTCCAATAGTCGAACTGAATGCAACGTCACATGCAGCGTCACACTGGTTACCTACTTTACAACATATTCAAGACATTGTCAGAAACAAAAGGTAATATATAATACTATATATCTATAAGTCTTTTTTTTTCAAATTATTACATTATAATATTGTTTATACTATCAGATTAACTCCACTTAACATTACCTGCAAGTAAGCTACTTCAAAGCAATAGTAAAAATGTATTCAAAACAACCTACATTTTGCTAAAGTTTACTTTAAGGATATTTTAACGTTATGGAAAATAGTTTAACAGTTATAAACATTTCAAAGCAATATTTGAAGAAAGTAAACAACTTATGGAAAAATTAAATGTAGAATTAAAGTTACCACGTATTACTAAGCACTAAATCAGTAGTCGGCAACCTTTTTACCTACACGGGCCATAATTTGTTTCAGTTTATTATGGAGGGCCGCATACAAAATTAAAATATTAAAAAATATAATTTTAACATAGGTATAATACTAATATATTTACAGATAGCAACAAACATATTACGAGTTTAACATTGCGGTTGTCCTTATTAACTAATTTTTAATTAAATACATTAGTAGAGAAAATTTAAAAGTTTAAAAATAATTATTAATTAATTCTTGAATGCATTTTAGTATACAAATATTCAGTTACTAGTGTGATTTTTGAGGTTGAATTTTTCCCGCCAATTCGTTTATATCCGCTTTTATATTGGATGTTGATATCCTTAAAACAGCATTCAAGTGTTCATCGCTTAATCGTGAACAATATTTATTTTTTCGAAATTTAAGTATTGAGAATGTCTGCTCACAAATATATGTGCTACCGAAAGCAGTAATCATTTTTTTAGCAAAACTTTTAATGCCTTTATAATCTATTTCAGAAAGACTTGAATACAATTTTTTTAGGTCATTACTTTCTTTAAACGCATTTTTAAGAATATCGTTGTTTTGCAATTCTATGACTTCCATCTGTAAATTAGATTCAACATCGTCAATGTCGACAGAAAAAGGGTTTTGAAATAATTTGATTTTATTCTCTTGTACGTAAAAATCAGAAAATCGTATTGAAAATTCATTTTGTAGGTTTTCAATTATATTTAAAAAATTAATTTTTTTAGTTTCCCAATTTAAAGTTGATTTGGTTGATTCTAATACAATTTTACAACATACGAAATGAACCAAGTGCTGTTCATTAATATGTTTGTGTAATAATTTTAATTTCACTTGAAATGATTTTATATTTGAATACATATCTGACAATAATTTGTCTTTACCTTGCAGTTTCGTATTCAGTTCATTCAATAAAGTTGTGATATCAGTTAAAAATGCCAGATTAAGAACCCACTTTTCATTTGATAATTCTGGTACATTTTTACCTTTTTCTGACATAAAAATATTTATTTCATTTCGTAAAATAAAAACCCGTTTCAAAACCACACCTCTACTCAACCACCTTACTTCGGAAAAATATATTACATCCCCATATTCAGCATCGCATTCTTCCAAAAATATTTTAAATTGACGATGTGCCAAAGCATTTTTGCGTATGTAGTTAACCGTCGATACTACAATATTCATTACATCTTTCCATGCTAAAACTTTGCAACATAATGCCTCTTGATGTATAATGCAATGAAATATCATAGGTGCTTCATGTCTTCCACCATTTTCGCATTTATTCTCCCAATTAATCCTTTATTAATTCCACTCATATTTCTAACACCGTCTGTAGTAATACTAACTAGTTTGTTCCAACTTAAATCAAGTTTTTTAAATGTTTTGTCAATTTCAATAAATAAGTCTTCTCCCGTTGTAGTTCCCTTCAAACTACATAATTCAGCTAATTCTTCAGAAATATTAAAATTAAAATCAATTCCTCGAATAAATATTAATAACTGAGCAGTATCACAAACATCAGTACTTTCGTCAGTTGCGATAGAAAAACAATCAAATTTAGAAACTTTTTTTTTCAGTTTGAACATTAAATTTGTTCCCAACTCTTCGGTACGTCTAACACAGGTCCTAGCTGAGAAACCAATGTCTTCAAATTGTTTTTTTTTTCTCAGGTCATATTTCATTTACAACGGCTAACATACATTTTTTTATAAATTCGGAGTCGTTGAATGGACGATTACACTTGGCTATCATTTCAGCAACTACGAAACTAGCTCGTACTCCTGATTCGTTTTGATTATGTTGTAATTTAAAACTATTTTGTTGATTATTTAATGAAGTTTTAAAATTATTTATTTTAATCTGTCTAAGATCACCAGTGAGAGTGTCAAATTTTAATTTATGCTCTGTTTCATAGTGACGTTTAAAATTATACTCTTTTACAGATAAAATGGTTTTTTGGCAAATTAAACATAACAGTTTACCTCTATTTTCGATAAAAAATATAAATCCGTCCATGATTCGTTGAATGTACGATGTTCATCACTAATTTTACGTTTTTTTGACATTGAATTGATAGGTTATTATAAAACAGTTGAAATTTAAACTTCACGTTGGAATGTTTTGAAACGAACTACACTAAGGCCATAACCAGATACGTATTTGTCGTAATCGACGATATATACATTATATACGATTAGATTACGTTCTCGATCATAGCTTATCTCTCATTGTTATACAATAGTCATGATTAAATATTATTTATAACAATTTAAGCTACAAAATTAAAATTTTAAACATCATGAATTATATTTGGAGGGCCGCAGAAAAAAGTTCCGAGGGCCGCGGGTTGCCGGTGCCTGCACTAAATACATAGACCAAATATAAATACTTTATCCGTAGAAGAATACTTTAGAATTTCTGTTTATAATTCACTGTATACTCATGTACTTGATAATCTAAAAGATAGATTTTTCAGTAAAAAAAAATGTAAGCATTTATAAATTATTACTTCTTATACCAAGTTGCCATAGGCCGATATCGGTGGGGACTTGGGGGGGCTTAAGCCCCCCCCCCAGAATGGAATCAGACCACACCAGACCTCAAAATAAAAAATTGTGTGTTTCAATATTTGATATTTATAATTTTTATTTTATTTTGTTGGGCTACGAGAATGGTCTGGAATGTTCTCGGCTTATCGTTGTTGGGAAAACCATATTTTGTAGGTATATTATATTGATAATCGCGAATATTCTAGAACTTGTATTATTATATTCTTAACTTGTTTGTTTACGTATATAAATACGCAAGCTGCAGACCGCCACCGCATTAGTGACTACTGAGTACCGACAAGTGTTGATTACGTTTTTTTGTATTTTGTTTTTAATATTAACGCGTAGTTTTCCGTAAGTGACAAGTGCTAATCCAATAAACAATTTCATTTTACATTATTTATGTGTATTGTGTATTTGTGTGAATTAATCAATTAATTTTAAATTATAAATTGTAATTAATTCAATTATGGCTAAAAGAATGTTTGATGTCTTTAATATCAAAAACCAAAAATTAGTTGTTACTGATTCCTCGTCAACAACTACACTAGAATCTGAAAATGAAGAATTAAATATTGGTTTGGACATTGATAAAACTGCACAAAAAAGTGTTGAAAATATTGTAGATAAAAATGTCATTTCCGACTTGGGAACTTTATTAACAGGCCCTGTGCGACCAATTTTAACAGTAAGTACAAATTCACTAAACATAGTTTAAGAAATTATATTTTATTTATATTAATTATATTTCAGTCATATCCACTTACTAAATTTGGTACACAAAATCGCGCTTTTAATCATAAGCATTACATAACATATGAATGGCTTGAATATAGTATATCAAAAGATTCTATTTTTTGCTTTGCTTGCAGAAATTTTAGTACTGGGAGTAGTGGCAATTTTGAAGATAGCTTTCTAGTTGGTTTTAGAAATTGGAAAAAAGCAAGTGCTTTGTATTTATGCTTAATTTATAATTTTTTAATTGTTATTATTAATATAAGTATATTATAATTTATAGTTGAGTGTTTGTAGTGGAACTAAAGGTGGCAATAAAAGTAAACTCAATAAATTGGATGCACATGCTAAAAGTAATTTACATCTAACATGCATGGTTAAATGGTCAGCATATCAGAAAACAAAAGAAACTGGTAGTGTTTATTCTCAAATATCTTCTCAGCATTCTTTGATGGTTAAAAATAATAGAATGTATATGAAAATGTTAGTTGATATTGTTTTATTTTTAAGTTGTCAAGGAATTGGTTTTAGGGGACACGATGAGACAAAAGATTCTTTAAACCAAGGTATTAAACTAATAACTTAAGCTTGAATTTAAACAAAATATCTAATTATGATAATTATTTGTAAAAAAATTAATATATATTTTTAGGAAACTTTAAAGAATTATGTAAATTGTTAGAAATAAGTAATGAGGAATTTGGAAAAAAATTTAATCTTAAAACCAATTACACAAGTCATATAATTCAAGATGAACTTATAAATATATGTGCAGATGTTGTGAAAGAAATAATTGTGAAAGATATTGAAGACGTTGAGGTATTTGGAATTATGTGTGATGAAGCAAGGTAAAATAGAAATTATGTTTTATACATGGACTTCTTGTTTTATTTTTATTAAATTAATTTATAGGTGTTACAAACAAGAACAAATGGCATTATGTGTAAGGTATGTTAAAAATCTAGATGTTGTTGAGAGATTTCTTAGTTTTATAGATTGTTCTAAGAATCAAGATGCTGAAAGTTTATATCAATACATATTATGGTATCTGAAAAAGTGTAAACTTAGTTCTAAACCACAATTAGTTGCTCAGTCATATGACGGTGCAAATGTTATGTCTGGGAAATTTAACGGACTACAAAATAAAATAAAAAGTCAATATCCTTACGCTATTTATACACACTGTATGGCTCATAAAATGAACCTCATTGTACTTGATATGTGTAAACATGTAAAGGTAATGAATATTTTTATACATCTTAGAACTTCGTGATTTTATTTATTACCTATATTAATATTAGGAATCAAGGCATGTATTCAACACTTTAGAATCCCTGTACATACATTTTTCTCATCCGTCAAAAAATCAAAAATTAATTGAGATTCAAACTAAACTAGGAATAAAATATACATCAATGATTAGACTCAGTGACACTAGATGGAATTGCCGTTATCGAAATATAGAGTCTGTTAAAGCAAGTTATAAAGCAATTATTCAAGCTTTAGAAGAAGAAATTGAAAATGAAGATGATAGAGGAGTAAATGAAGCAATGGGTATAATATAAAAAGTAATAATTTATGATTCAAAGTATTTTAAATCCAATATTTTTTATTTTTGTTTTAGGTATACTAACAAATTTAAAAAGTGGACGATTTATAGTTTATTTATTTATCTTACATAAAGTATTAATTAATATTAATATTGTTGCTAACAAATTTCAAGAAAAAACCGCAACTTTAGGGGAATCTAAAAATATTATCCAAGGTGTGATGATGACTTTTAAAAATTCTAGAACAACAGAATATTTTTCTAAGCTTTGGTGTGAAATAGAAATCTTTGCTAAAGACAATGAAATATCAATACAAACGCCATCTCAAGGTAAGTCTTAATAAACATAGAATATTTATTTATAATTCTTAATTTTATGTACATATTTACTCAACTAGGATGCAAAAGAAAAAGACAAGAGCCACACAATCTTAAACATTTTGATACTACTGCAACCACAAGTGCTGAACAAAATATTAATGACACCAGTGAAACCATTGAAGATTATTTTAGAAAAAATGCTTTCTTTCCTGTATTTGATACTATTTTGATAAATTTGGAAAAAAGATTTTTTCTGCTGAAAGCCTCCAAATGGCTACAGCAGTTGATCAATTTATTCAACTGAACTTTGAGGAAAGTCTTTTCTTTGTAGATCATTATAAAGTAAGTATCGTATCGGTTTCTGAAAATTAATTTATAATGAATACTTATGCTCTAGTTTTTTAGTTTTATTAAAAGTAAACCTGTATTTTGTATATTTTTCAGGATTTGATGAATGTATCTAAAGAGGTATTGCAGTCAGAAATAGAAGTGGCAAAGAATTGTATATTGCAGTCTACTGATAAAGAAAATACAACTTTAAATGATGTGAAAAAGGTTTTAACAAAACAGACTTTTCCTAATTTATATAAACTATTTCAAGTTGCTCTAACAATACCTATAAGTTCCTCCACTTGTGAGAGGAGTTTTTCGGCCATGCGTCGAATAAAAACTTGGCTTCGAACTTCTATGCTGCAGGAAAGGTTCAATAACACCTCAATATTATATATTGAAAAAGAAATTTCTAAATCTATTGATTCTGAAACGATTATTAATATTTTTGCACAAAACAATAGATATATACAATTAAATTAATAAAAAATTGGTAGCTATTCAATATTTTATTTTTTTATGTTCTCATTTACCTATATATACTCGGTACCTCAGCTAAAATAAAGTTAAAGTAGCCACTAGAGTTAGTAGGTAAAAGTGACTAAAAATGTTTGTTTCCGCTAATGGCTAATGGATAAGAAAAAAATGTTAAGCCCCCCACGGATGTGACCAAATATCCGCCTATGCAAGTTGCATGATATAAATAATATTTCAGAAATTGTTTATAAAGAATACTCATTTATTCTAAGAGAAAAACAACGGTTTTCTTCTGAACTTGAATTATGGATTGCAAAATGAACCAAAGTTAAAAATGAAGGTAAATATAAAATCTATTATTTAATTTTCAATATTAATTATCTTAAAATAAAATTTTAATTTCAAGGAAGTTATTTACCAACAACAGTAATAGATAGTTTGGATCATTGTCAGGATGTACTATTCCCAAGTATTAAAACAATGCTTTTAATTAAATTACAAAAAGAAAACATCACCATAAAAATAATCTGGATACCAAGTCATACAAACATCACCGGAAATGAAAGAGCTGATAAACTTGCTAAAGAAGCTATTGTGTCACAAAATGCAATCCCATGTCAAGTTTACTCAATAACCGACATCAAACAAACAATTAAAAAAACAATTCTCAATATCTGGCAAAATGAATGGAAAACATCGAACACCAAATTAAATTAAATAAAAAAGCATATTCTCCCTTGGCCTAACAACACACTTACCAGAAAAGAAGAAGTAGCTATCAATAGGCTCAGAATAGGCCATACCAGATTAACCCACACCTTCCTAATGAAGAAAGAAGACCCTCCCATGTGCTCGACATGTAACGATCCTTTGACTGTTAAACACATCCTCACCGACTGCAGAAAGTACGAATTGCAATGTCATAAATTCAATCTAACGCATCATCTTGCTGAAAACCTCAACATCAATACAACCAACGTTCTCAAATTTCTAAGGGAAACAGAACTCCATAAAAAAATTTAAGAAATATATCCTAATAACATAATATATTATAAGTATAATGTACCTACCAACCTAAGGTTATATTTAATGTAATTTTCTAGTGTTAATATAAATACTATGTATTTTTCTTTGTAGCCAATGGCCCTTAGCTGCCGAGACATTAAATAAATTAAAAAAAAAAAAAAAAAATGCTTTTAATTATTGGTTGTCTGCCTATCAGCGTTGCATAAGCTGAAAGAAGTTTTTCTACTTTGTGCAGGTATATCTACATTAAAAATGATAATATCAAATTAATAACCAAATAATTTTATTTTTCTACTAAAATATTTTAAATCTAGATTAAAATATTGGTTAAGATCATATATAAATCAAGATAAATTGAATGGGTTAGCTTTATTTCATGTTCATAGAGAAAAACAAGTGTCAACAGACAACATCATAAAAAGATTTTCATAAGTTAAAAAAAGAAACTTAGAAATAATTAGGTAGATATGTAATTTTTATATTTTTTTAAATAAACAACTCATTTTTGGTATTACTTTCATGTTTCTATTTTAAAGATGGTTCCGGATAAAAATTAATAGCAACATACCTAACTATTAAAATATGTTGTTATTGTGAAACAAATACATTAAAAAATATATTTACTTATGAGTAAAAACATATGTGAATTAAAATTATACAAAGATTTAAAATAGTTAGGTAAATTTTTAAAACTCAATTAGCCCCCTTGGTGAGTGATAAAACCCGCCCCTGATTACGACGCATAAAAAATTAATCATAAAAACCATAAAAACAAACAACATAGGATGATATCAATGTAATACGATAATTTAAATTAGTAAAAATTACTTATTGACAAAATATTTTTTAATAGCAATAATAATAAAAAAAATGTATAAATTAAGACTCGTAGTCTGGACAACAATTGCAAATAATTGATCAATACTTACAACACAATAAAAGTGTTAAGTGGCGGATTTTATCCCACGTGACTCGCACCGGGTGTATACTTACAGTATTAAATTTTACAATGAAAAAATAACAGCACCGGGATACGATACGACCACTTAGCCACCTTCAATGGACGCACAATTAACTCACGGCTGGCACATTATAAAAATATACATGAAATTTAAATATTTAATAATCGACGATGAATACTTGAATAAAACTTAGGCAATTATAATAAATATTAAAAATTGTAATGACTATGAAGACGAACGACAATTATTACTAAATGAAAATGTGGTTTAATGACACACATGAAAATACATTAAACACGGCTTGCACTATATGGATTGAAATAAAACAATATGGAATGAAAATGTAAAACTAACTTAATGCAACGTAAAATTACTGAATGTAATAATTAATTTCATTTTGCTGAACGAAGTAAGACATCACACTTACGCCGCGACTGTTTCGCCACGGAGTACGGATTGACGGATTACTGATTAGTGATTAGTCACCGCTGGCCACGGCCCGCACACCGTTTTACAGCGACTGTTTAGCCACGAATTATCAATACATAATACCAATAATGTACTTATCTATCATTAAATATTGAAATACAACGGTCAACGATAGTCGATACTAAGATGAAAGATTATGATTTATGACATTTTTTCAAACCTCAATACACGACATTTCGCATGCATTCGTCTCTGATTGACACACATTTAGTTGTGAAATATTAATCTTGATTTATTTCTCATTTGAATTCAAGTGCATTGTATCACTTCCCACCTCTCCCCCACATTCTGAAATTTGCTACTTAAATTTCCATTTGTGCATACATGCACAACTCATTAGCGTGCGCACGGGGTAACTGAGTAAGCAGGAATTATGAATTTAATTATAACATGCTTTTCGTTTTCAATAAACACGTCTTAATAAAAATGTATTTAATTTTCAACATAAAAAAAAAAAAAATTGAAAAATCTATTGTTTTCTTAAAAAACATTGTTAATATAAATGAATATATTAAATATTTTAAGACAATACCATGAGCATTAATTATATTTTCGGGAATACATTTTATCAGCTACATATCTTGTGACCAAATGGCAAATAGTTTACTCGTGCAGTCATGCCTATATGGTGTAGCTGTATTGCTGGGTTTAACTAATTTTTAGAATGGTAGCCCACCTTCTGTTGGTAATTTATAATAACATTTATAAATGTGCGATAGTCTGGCCGTTTAATGTAATTATTAGCTTGTTTTGTTGGGCACGACACTTATTATTTGATAACTTCCTCTGTACTACCCATATATTAAAATTTCTGTAGATCCAAATCCAAAATTAAACTTTATTTATATTTGTTATATACCTATTTCAATGTAAAAAAGGTACTATAAACTATTTAATCACTAGGGCTAAAAATAAATTTGTTTCAAAATAAAAATTATGGGCGCGAGTAAACTCCGCCACAAGATTTATTTTTATGTTAACTCCGCTAGGAAAAAAATAGGTAAAATTGAATTCATGCAAGCTCCACCGGAAAAGAAAATTAGGTAACAATATAAAATTATTACGAAGGAATTATAAGGCATGAAGAAATGCGGGTTTCACTTGACGGATTTTTCAAAGTAATATTAAGTTGGTCCATTCCAACAATTTTAATAAATCAAATAAATGCCTTGACATTTTTGTTATTGCATCTCAATTTTGACTTATAGAATCGCAATGGATATCAACGTATTTAATGTGGAAAGGCCTCAATACTAACGGAGTTTCCATTACAGGTAGGAAATAAAACTTGTGGAGCTTACATTAGACTTTCTCATAACCTTTTTATCTAATCCATATATATAGAGGAGTTTACAATCACCCAAAAATCATACAATTCGTTAGAAAATCTTTTTACAAATAATTGTAATATAATACATTGCATGCTAAAAAGAAGTTAAAATAGAAGATTCAGCAGTATTAAAATATTAAAAAAAATAAATAAATAATAATAATTAAGCTACTCTAGATTTCTAAATTAGGTATTAATTAAATTGATTAATACATAGAAGTAGGTAATAGAAATAATAAAATTCCTTGTTATACCAGCATACAACATAGGTAAGTATTAAGTACCTAATTATGAATCATTTGGTGACCCACTGACTGTGGTATCACATTATACATCACTACAATATAATACTTCTATTATATCACTGTATAGGTAATGATTTTTAATTGCTTCAATATTGTTTATTGGTATAAATAAACAACTATAAACACAAAGAAATACCTAACTGTAGACTGTAGAAATTACTGTCAATGTTAAAATAACCGTGTCAAACTACTATCTCGTATAATAAGATACACTGTTAATTTTTCAACTTAACAATTATAAATTATTTATAATGTATTTGTAGTTAACCTTTTCCATTACTCAATAATATGGAGTCCATATAATATCATTTACTACAGCGGTTCCCAAACCTTTTTGATTCACGCATTTTCAAAAATAAAAAATTCAATCATGCCTCCTTTAAATAAATGAAACAAACATTTTATTATTATATAGTAGTATATTAATATTTCTAGAGTATATATGTATTATCAATCTTTATATCACGCTTTTCCTATAAGTACTTACATCTCACACTATGGGAACTACTGATTTACTATATAATATACTATAGTACTTTTTTCTTACCAGTACAAATTAATGCATGTTGTAATTCATTCTAATGACTTTGTTAATGTGTAATATACAAAGTTAATTTATGTCTTTTAACTTGTAAATAGTTTGAAGTTCTTTGCATTTTAGAAAAATGTATTTTTACATTTTATCATATTACTATTTATTTACATTTTGATAAATTACATTTGTTTTTGAAATATAATAATTCAATACAGAACACTTCTTCCAATTTAGTTACACACACATAATTATTGTACAGTCTTATGTTAATCTATGACCAAGTTAAGATGAGTGAATTGTCAAATGGCATGATTTCTATCAAAATTTAAGTCCACTACTATTCTACTTGTCTAATCTTTATTCTGCTTCAGTTCATAAAATTTAAAATTTAAACAGTTTTTGCTTAGTGTTAGAATAATTTTTATTGAATAATCATTTTATAAAACTTAGTAAAAAAAAACTTTTAACATGGTTGTACAATTTTAGTTTAAATAAAATATAAATCATTTTTATGCAAATATCAAAATCAATTTTAGTTTTGAATAATAAATTTAATTTAAACTAAATCATCAATATCTTTATATGATCCACCAGATAGTGAATGATTGTCCAATTCATTTCTTGGGTTTCCAGCTTTTTGGTTTTCCAAGTGTACATTTTTATATCCTCGAGAGCGTTGAGAATTAATACCATGAAATATTTCAAAACTGTTTTGATCATGAGAAGCATCTTGCTTAGTTCGCCAACTTGATTTAGATTCTTTATATCTATTATTACCTCTATTATGTATTTGATTTTTAAATGGAGTTTTGAAAGGGTTGTTTTCTAATGACACAACATGTAAATTGTCCGAAGAACTAAATTTATTTTCAAACTTCTTTAGTTTTGTCTTAATATTATCTGAATTGTTCAAGCTTTTCATTGAATCAATAGAGGTTTTTACAGATAATTTAAAATTGTTATCAATTAATTTATGTTGATTTGTTAATGGTTCTGTAACTAAAGCACTGTGTTTTTTTAAATACTTATTTTTATTTATATCTTTTGAAGCAAACTGGTGTTGATGACTGCTATTAGACTTATTTTCTGAGAAATCGACCTTTAGTTTTTGCCGAAATTCACTTTTATTATTATTATATGATTTATTATAAGGATACTTTTTGGCTTCATTTTTATTGTGAAAAGAAGTTTTATTATCATCATTGAAATGACTGTCATAAAAATGTAATTTTGATATTTGAATGAATCGATCAAATGTATTGTGTATTGTTTTTTTTTCTTCTAAACTCCACTTATGATTGTTAACTAATTCTTTTACTGTAATAGAAAGAGCATTTAAAAATTGTTTGTTTCTGAATCCGTTTACCTTAAATAATGGATAAGCAAACTGAAATCAAAAATAATAATTGTATTACTATAAAATATATATATAAAAAAAAAATTACAATACTTAATACACTTGTTTATACCACATCAGCTATTATCAATAAGTTTCAACAAATTATTCGGCTTATAATATAATTAAAAAATGAATTACTTGTTTTTATTTTTTTTATAACTTATAATAATGTAACATATTACTTTTTTAATATATTTAATAAGACAAAAATAAAATACATTATTTATAAAATTATCTAACTTTTTAAAATATTAATATAAAAACCAGTAGTAAAGCGTCACAGGAGACAATGATACCACTTAAAAATTAGAACACAAGACAAATAATTTTGTTTTATAAAGTATTTACAAATTTGAACGTTATTTATATTATAAATATAATGTTTGTTTTAATATTTGTTAAAATCGGTTTTTTGTTGTACAAGTTAGTCTTACAGAATTCTTAAAAAAGATTAGTTGTGCGCGATACGGTTATTCCAAATATTATAGAAGGTAACTAATATACCAAAGAAACGTTGTAGTGCAACAATTCCCAATTATGGACGTGCGGTTACAGGGAGAATTTTAATGTGAGTGCCGAGTGGGTTTTCTATGTACACTATGAGACGCATCTCGGTGTTCATATTTCCTCAATTATTGACGTCGCCATCATCCTCTACAAATCATGATAGCCGATATAGGTATATGTTTCTTAATACTTGTTGTTTTTATATAGTAATTTGCTAATAATTTAATTAATACCACTTTAAACGATGGAATTATTAATTACTCATACAAAAAAAATTTGAATTAAAAAAATAAAAGACCATGTTCCTTATTAAATTTAATGTCAACTTTGAATTGAAGGTATAGTAATTTAAAAATTTTAATTTGTGTGGTATTCAAAATATAAATGGTTTAATGGTAATCAAATTAGAAATAAATTATATTGATATTATTGCCTATTATTAAGTCCAGGCGTAATAGTTTCATTTTCTTTTCCAATGTCTCCCCAGCCAAAAACTCAAGCCTCACCACTGATAAAAACTAAATAAACAAAAAACTAGGCACAGTAATTAATTAATTACTTACAATACTATCAAAACTACAATTATTTATTAAGTCTAAAAATGTATAAACCTACTTAAACTGCACATTTAAAACTAAAATAATTGATAATGTAATACCTTAAAAACATAGATATAAATAAATAAATTTGATTGACTCACAATTAAATGACGTTTTTTAAATGTATCTTCAATATCTTGATCAATATACATTTTTAAGTAGCGTAAAAACTCTTTAGGATTATTTTCACAGTAATTGTAATAAATCAATATTTGTGATAAAATAATAAGCCTTCTTTTTGGGCTTGGAAAAACATCATACATCATTTTTAATGTTTGAACAAGAGGAAATTTATCAACAGGTTGTAACAGGCACTCTACTTTTATTAACTGCAATGAACTACTAAAATGACCAGCAGCCATTCCACGAGATAAATACATTTTTGCTTTTTCATAATCCTGAAATAAAACCAAAAATGGTACTTTTTATTCATCCAATAACAATAATATTAGATGTCATACTTTTTCATTTTTTAAATAATATTTTCCGAGAACTTGATCCACACGACTATTTTTAACATTTGTTAGTTTTGTAATTAAATTCTCTATCATAGGTTTTAACAAAAACTCTTTAGGATAATCAATACATGTCAATAAACAAGAATAAAGCTGTTTTGTGTCATCTTTGGCTAATTCAACTGATTTTCTATTAAAAACAAATCCAGTAAATATATAGAAGTAAAATTAAATAAATGAATAAGTAAATAAAACCAATAGGGACTGTAAAGAAAATATAAATTATTTGATAATATGATAGTTAAAATTTAATTAATACTATAAATAATGGTTATTTATGAAGAATTATAATTTAATGACTCAACTAGTCATCTCAAGGTCTCTTAATTTAAATAAAATAAGATAAAGTTCTGAAGGATTCTATCAATTAATAGCCTTCTTCATAAAAAATTAGTCTAAATTATATTTTTGTACAACAATATTAGATTAATTCCTCAAATTTACTAATTGCGTTTAAAGATAAATTTTAAGTTTTAAAATAATAATAATAAAAAAAAGAAAATTTAAGTACTTTAAAAATTGTAACAGAACTTTTAAATTATTACTAATTTTCATTACTTATCAATATATTTTAATTGATACTTACACAAAATAGCTACTTACTCAGTAATATCAGATGAAATCTTATAATATTTATTTGATTCTTCTTTGTTATTTTTTAATTTATTAATAAATGCTACTTCCATGTAAAGTTTAGAAGCTTGAATTAAGAGTCGAGCCTTAGTTTTAGTAGAGCATAACATTTCTGCAGCATTTATTTCATCATTTTCTGGCATTTTATATTGTTCATAGTAACGTCTTACTCGTCCTTTGGCTTTTAGCCAAATTACTATCCATTCGGGTTCAGTAGAATGAAGAGTGCGGGCTTGATCAGCAAATTTTAAAGCTATATCATTTCCTTTAGGTGGATACTCCATAAAAATTCTAGCTTTAACTGCACAAACTGCTGCTTTCTCAGCTCGATTAAAACTTGTTATTTGTTTAACATTTTTTAATGACTAAAAGAAAAAATACATTAACTTAATAATTTTTTATAATAAGTAAATTTATTTTATAAAAACACAACACAGTCCCACCCTATACTAATAAGCCATATTGATTAATATGATGTATAATATAAAATATTTAGGTGATAAATATCTGAATTAGATTTCTACAAGATCTATAATAACTAGTAATGGGCAATGATATCAATATCATGGCAAATATTTGATATTGATTAATAATTTCCCAAAACATCAGGAAATAAAAAATATTTATCATTATATTATTTTTCAAGAATCACATTTTATTTGCAGGTTCTAAGGCATCTAAGCTATAATATTTTAAATAATTTAATTATTAATATTATTATTATTTTATAATTACTGTACATGTAATACATATATGTTAAATGTTGGTATACCAACATAACTCTAAATAACATCTAAATATTGAAATATAGTATTTATAAAGTAAATGAGTTAAATTTGTTAAATGAAAACAAAAAAGGGATTTCAATATCAGTGAATTTGAATGATATTGATATTTAAAATTGTATCCTTACACATCACTAATCATAATACATTAATGCGCATACACAAAATCTATACAAAGTAATTTACAATATTAATTAAACTCTGCTTTAAGATTTAAGACTCCAAAATAGTAATAGAAGTGTCATATGATGTAATAGTAACTCATTTTTTTGTATACTCTAATATATTACAATAGTAATGTATTAAATTATATCTAAACATAGGTAATAGGTAAAACAAAAATATAAAATATTTTATTAATTTAAATAATCTTAATTATACAAGCTTTATTTTAGATAGTAGAATGTTATTGAGAATAAGAGCAAGAAAATGTTTGTAATACAAAATGTATTATAATATTAAATTAAAGAACGTATATATACAAATGGTAACACATTACAGACTGACCATCTATATTCATACTAGTATAAGTAGGTATCAAATACAACAACTTTTATTACAAAAAAAAAATGTGTATAAGAATTTATAACAAAATATAAATATTATATGTCAATATTTAATTATAATAAGTACTATCTTACATATACTAATTTACACAGGATGTCTTATTTAATTTTAACAAGTAATTTAAATTTATAATATACATAAAATAATAGTTTAAGTAGATTACAATTTTTAAAAAAATGAAAATAATGAGTGCTAGAATATTTAAAACATATTATTAATATTTTCTTGAATTAATAAATTATAAACTTTTGTCAACATAAATTATATGAGACTTATGAAAAATTATTTATTTTTCTTATTATTGATACTTAATATATTTATTGAATTAAAGAATAAATAATTAAAATTTACCTTTTCTGAATCAATTTTCAATGATAATGCAATATAAGCAATGGTGGCATGAGCAATATGATAATAAGCATTAGAGTAGTGTTCGTTTGATTCATCAAATTTACACATTTCCAGAAATTTAACAACGTTTTCAATTTCCAAATATGATTCCTTATAACTTTTTTTAATATAAAGTTCATAAATAACTATTAGTTGCAAATAAAACCTAAAAAATAAAATAATTTCACTCAATATATTATCTACATTTATATGTATAACTAAAAGCATATAATGACATGGCATGTTTAACATTTTTCAAAGGAAAATCTAATAATTCACCTGTTCTCAAAAATTTAACAAAGGGTCACAACTTTTATGTTAATAACAGAAAACTTCATCAATTGTTGTCAACCATTTACCCATCCTAATTCACTCAGAGATAGTTGTATCTTGATTACTCCCTTTACTATGCTACTAAGTACATACAATTTGATTTATAAAATATTATAATTTTTCTATATTATATGATATCATTATATCAATTATTCATAGTGATTTATAAAATTAATGTAGACCTATGTAAACATTGTAAACAATACATAATGAATTATATTTTGGTTTTTATGAGTCTTTGTTAATTATTAATAACATACGAGAAATTAGGTTTTACACGAATAAATTTCTAACAATTACCTATTTAAATTGAATTCATTGTCTTTGTCTATGACCATTTCTAGCTTTTCTCGAACCTTATCAATGATGTTAACCAAAAGGTTTTGATTGCATCCCGTTAGTCGTTGAATGTCCCATGAGAAAATGCTTTCATAATCATTTTCAATTTCCTTTAACTGTGTTCGAATATTTTCATCTAACTCAAGTTCATTCCAGTGGTCATCGTTAATTGACAAAGTGTCCATCACATCAGACAAGTGTTCAACATATCCGGCCATTTTTCAGTAAACTAAATAAACAACATAAGTAAATATTATTAGTGCATTTGATTAATGTATTTAATTACAATAATAAAATTGGCCGTCATCAAATTCATGATATATTACACAAGTCTTCAAAAAATTCGATTACTTACTTGTGAATTTGCCAATCACTTAACAAAAAACAAAAACAGCAATCTTACAACAAATACCTCAATATATAGCGGAAAATTATTTTATTCAATAATATGTTATTTGTGTGTTTGTATTACCATAGAATAACAATAGATAACAATACTGTATTACTGTAATAAAAAACTGCCTACAATAACAATATTTATTTCACATTCCAGTCATTCCACTATATCAAATTTCTGATTAGTCATAACCATGGTTATAACTCATAACTTAAAAGTTATCATATTTATGATAAATAATAATAATTAATAATATGATTAATATTTATGTCTTACTTAATACACTATTATTATATTGCCAACCATTAACCTCTGTAATAATACACCAGAGAATTTGGTAGGAGTGGTTGTCCGTGTCGTCTGTCGTCTGTGGCCTAAGTAGACTGTGCAACAGAATTGCAGTCTGCACTCTGCGCTTTGCACTCTTTGCAGACTTGCAGTAGGCAGTAGCCAGTATTGTACTGTGTACTGTGTCTAACGAGCAATGGCCAATGACTACTAAAATGAATGATTAATATTATTGAGCTCGTTGAAGCAGAATCATTAAACATAATAAATAGAATCGCAAAAAACCATGATTAATTTTAATTTTAATGACATAATATGCTATTTTAAAATAATAAAATTAATAATTAATTACAGATATTATATTATAGGTACGTGTTTTATATCAGTGTGATTAATAATAAATCTATAATCTATATTTACATTATCCGACAAAATGTCATGGATTATAATTATTGCCTTATTGACTGTTATAATAGAATCATACATCAATATTTAATACCTACTGATATTTGTTATCGTCATTCATCATTCTTTTTTATTTCTTTATTGGTCACGAATTCCAGAAAATTAATTTTTTAAATCGTTTACCACGGCAAGAAATTATGAAATTATGTAATATTAATCTTAGAATAAATCAAACCAAATCCAACACATTTATTATAATGATGTTGTACTTGTACACTCAATACCCTACATCTACAAACTAGTCCTAGACCCTAGTGGCAGGCACGGCGCCAAGGGGGGCATGGTGGGGCTCTAGCCCCCCTAGAAAACAATCCAGCCTCTTCGCCAGCCCCCCTACTAAAATATGTGTAATAAAGTCATAAGACATTATTTTTAAAAGAGCTACATCAGAGAATTTATGAAATATACTTTTTAAAAATTAGTATATTAAGTAAATACTTTCGTATTTTCGAAGATATGTGTTTAAGTTTTTGCTGTTATAATATATTTTGTTTATTTAATATATTTGTCACTACTAAATTAATTGAATTTAGTATAGATTATAATGGTTTAATTAATGAAGTTTGAACAAATAACATCTTCAGTCTTTTTACGGTGAATTAACCTACTAGTATTATCTAATAAGGAAAAATCTTTTATTTATTTATTATTATCTACCTATCTTTATTGAGTACCAATCATTGGATAAAAATAAACAAACAAAAGTATCCCAAATCATTGCATTAAAAGTTGAGTAAAACAAATTCATCTGTTCATAACTAAACACAATTAATTTAATTTATATTTATGAATTGTAAGTAAAAGAAACATAATTATTCATTCACAAAGGTATATAATAAAGAAATTATAATTTTTGTACATCATTATTAATGTAGTTGTTGAAGGTCTGTGATCTAACATTTTCATACATAAAGTACATAAAAAAAAATTTATATTTTATTTAAATAACCTCAGTATTTGTTGAAAAAACCTTAGCCCATGTAAAAAAAATATTTGCCGCGCTCTGCCCCCCCCCCCTGAAAAAAAATTCTAGTGCCGTACTTGCCTAGTGGTCATATAATACCACTAATACCAGTAATACTTAATCTAATACACAACAGAATTACTTATACAGTTTATTTTTTTATTTTATTCATGCTATAACTGATACAACCAAGTAAATTATAATTTAAATATAGATTAATAATTAAACTTATATCACGATTTTAGCGTAGAACATAGTGAATATAGTAACACACATTTCAAATTTCAACTGTTCTATGACTTTATCACAGAAATGATAATGTTATCATTGATCTATTATCAGTAACTTCATTATAGTGTAGTGAACGTATAAAACATCAAGCTATATAATAGACATTTCACGTTAGACAGATATAGTAGCTACTTCATAAATAATAATATATTAATTAATTAATATAATAACAGTAATAAGAATGTAAAATTCCTTCGTAGTAAGTACTTTTATTTTTTATTTATAAATAATAATAGTTATTATAATATAGTTATATTGTAATCACATAATAGTGTGTTGTATTGTTATGCACATATTAATAATCAATTATTGATAAATTATTTATTATTCAACTGTTACTTTTCATTATTTAAACTCGAGTAATTATTAACAGATTTTTACTTATTGTGTTCTGTCTTCTAGTAGGTATATAATATTTTAAACATTTAAACATTGTTGAATTGAAAAGTCAATATACCACCCCACTAAAAATTTAAAACTTTATGTTCAAGATAAGGAATTCAAGTACTTAAAAAAATCGGTTTTATAATGTCAAAACGAAATAAGATTTCTTATATTAAACCACGAGAACCATCATTTTTGAGAAAATTAAAACAAGAAGCCAACTATAAAGAAGGACCAACAATTGATACAAAAGTGGGTATTATTATTTATTACTAAGAACTGAATATTTCAAAGTTTATGATAAGTTAAGGAATATTTTTATGTAATAATTTTGAAAGAAAAATCCTTTTTAATTTATAAATAAATAGTTATTACCATCAATTATAAATATTACTAATTTAATACCTAAATAATTTATTATGTTTTTATATTTTAAAATGTAGGTACCTAATGTTACAACCATTTATTTATTATTAAGATTAATATAAAATAATTTACATAATTAAGAAATTTTATCAGTTTATATAATGTACTGTTTTTAGAAAATTGAACTACCAACTGATGAAGATGACGAATCATATGATGATGATAAGCCTACTGTGGTTGTATTAACTGAAGGTGATTTAACGTCTGAAGAAGCATCCAAAGAGGCATTAGCTAAAGAACAAGGTATATAATTATAAAATATACACTTTAAATTGGTACTTAATTAGTTAATGTAATTTTTCTTTTAAATATCTGAAAAATATAAATACTAAAAATTTATAATATTTTCAGAAGAAAATAATAAACCAGCTGATTTATCTAAACGTATAATCTTCAAACGTCCAGCTAAAAGTACACCACAATCTGAAGAAAAACATAGAGTAAATAAAAAAAAAAAACGAACAGAAAAATTAGTTCTATCTTTTGATGATGAAGAGGAGTATTCTTAAACCTGGTTTGTTTAAAATTTATTAATTTATTAAAATAGTTTAAACAAGTTTCTAATAATTTATAGGCTAAAATAATTAAAACATAATCGTAAAAAATAAAATTTGTTCATTTTAATATTTTGTTATTATGTCAATGTCAAATTTTATTAGTCTTTAGTTCTAATTAAAAACTAGAATCAATCATATTTTTTAATTAAAACAAATTGTATTTATCTAAATTTGCAATTAAATAATTAAGAAAATGTTATAAATTTTTTTTTTTTTTTGAATTTATACTTTTACTATGTTTAAAAAGTTTTATTTGTGCATAAGTGTGTTGTGTGTGTATATTTATAAAAATTATTAATATATTATATCTTGTATGTATGTTATATTTTTAAGTATTGGTCGGTATCTACTATTTTATACTATACAGTTTGTCTGTACCATCAAAATAACAAAGGTAGTTTTAATTACGTACTTGCGTTATTCACTTAATTATTGTATACAATACCTTTTTGATACAAAATCAGACTTAAAAGTTATTTTTATTTAGTGAGTTATCTTATTTTAATGAAATTAGAGAAAATATTTTTTATGGCATAATAAGTGAAATTAAATTATTTTAAATATTTATGATTACATTTAATAATGATTTTATATCAATAGATGTTTTATATATAATATATAATGTATGTTTTAGGATTCTGCAAAATTACTTTTTGGTTATCAAGATATGTTTGTCTCCATAGATGATTGCAACAACGACTTTCAAATAAACACCTATCTATGTATATTATATTATATATATTTTAACAAAGTATTTATATACAATGGCAATATATTTTTATAACAAATGTTGATGACTTATTTGATTGCCAAATTAATTTTGTAAGCTTATTAGATTTAGTAAAATATTTAAGTATAAAGTTATTTTAAGTTTATTTAAATTTTGTATATAATTTTAAAAATGTTTACTGACCATTTTATAAAATCTATCCTAATTATTCTAATTATCAAACAATAATAAACAATATTTTTTTGAACTGTGTTTTTTTTTTTTAGAATAAGTAATAAGTATTATAATGAACAACTAATCAGACCTTAGAACTTAATGAATTTTTAGATTTTTATAATATCTTATGTTTTATGTATTAATTTTTATTATTATTACTTTTAAATATTAGTAAAGAAATTTGTATTACCGTAACAAAATGTATCTTTTCTCAAATATTGTTTAAATTACAATAATATTTATTAATAGAGTTATGAATTTATAGCATTAAAAATCCTAAAAAGTATGCGTAAAATCTGGGAAAAAATGTATTATAAAATATACAAAGAAAATCAAAGTTAAAATAATATAAAAATTTATTAAATATAAAATATTTGTGAGAAAAAAATTAAATAATAATTCATGAAATATGTGATAAAAGAAATAAAAAAAATGAAAACTCATCTAAAAAGTACTAATTCATTAAAAATTCAAAAAATAGTATTATAGTTAATAAGTTTCAATTTAAAATTTATTAAAATCTTGTACTTAAAACTTTATAATAAAAAAGCTGTTTTGCAATATGTAAAAATAATGTATTTTACTAAAAATCCACAGCTTTATTTATCTATTTACCTACCTAACCATTTCCTCTTAAGGCTTGTTAAAATGAGTATTATATGATATATTAAATAACATTTATTTAACCCTTGTTTTCTTATATATTAATAAGCAGTTATAAATAAAATTACACTATTAATATTTATAAAACTAATTTTTAAGACATTACAGTCAAATTTAAATGTATTGAAACTTTACAAGTTATAAATAATGATAAATTAAAAAGTCATTTTATAGTTTTTTATCAGTTATTATTAATGATTAATTGTTTATTAATTATTATTAAATCCTATCAACTTTTTCTTGGTATTCTTATAGTAGACCATTCATTAATCTACCAATTTAATATAAATTATGTACAATAAAATTTGAATTTCTATATGTACATACAATTTGTTATTAATTATTACAATTTATTTTATTGCTTATTACAAATTTATTTTATTTATTGATCAAATTGTTAAATAAAAATGCATTACCAAATACAATTATAATTTATCATTTAAAGTTGAATTAATATATCATTGACATTATTTACCGTTATTATATTTTAATAAATCAGATACTAATTTATATCAAAGTTCGGTATAGAATCTAAATTTTAAATAAAATAATATTTTAAAAAACCGATTTAGAATTTTGTTAACATTATAATTTATTTAATGATAACTTATACGCCGAAATATGTCCTTATTTATATGTACACAAAATAAATTGTTGAGTGTCAAATGTAAACATCAGAGATCAACATTAGCGTGAGAAATTAACTGCTAAATAGGGTTTTTGCTCATGTTGGTGGTAGTCTTTAGCTGCTTTAAAAAATGATTCCGATATAAAACCATTTAAAAAATTATCATCTCATCAATCTTCGAATAAATTAAATATAACTCCTCAGCGCCATTTTTTCTCAAACAAAAAAAAAAAAAATTGAACAATTATAAAAAAAATGTAGAAGTTCCAACACTGGAAGAACAAAATAATATAGTAGCATCTTTATTATTGAAGCAGGACCACAAATGATTTTTTTTTCATTATAATATTATTATTTTTGAACGATTGGACGAATGTTACCAGCAACACAATTTGTTTTTAATTTATAATTTTATTGTCATATACATGTATTAGTATGTAATTAGTGAATATGTAAATCTTATAATATGAGTAGTAACTAGTTAAAAAGTTAATTTGTTTTACTTAAATAGTTGAAGAATCCATAGTAAAAGCTTTTTTTTTCCAAATTATTTGAAAGATAATATGTCAAGAAAAACAACAATTACACATACCTATAATCAACTGAATTTATTTATATTTACTTATAATATATTAAAAATTAATATACTAATTTATTTTATTAATATTCAATTAATCACAATACATAAATAATTATTAAATATTATATTAATTTGTGGAAGTATAGGGATATTGTCAATACTAATATTACATTTTTGAATTTTTCTAATTATAGTGATAACTGATAATAAAATCTGTGATAGCTGATAATGATAACAAAGTCGGTCAGCTTCACAGATATATCTGTGGTCATCTTGCAGCCGTTCGGATTCTCTGTCTCTAGATGCTTGTATATTATGTTACCAACCTTACTGTCTGTCGTTATGATCGAACAAAAATTGATTATAGTACCTAATACTTATATACAGCACCGAATCTAAGGGAAGGCAATCCGGAGCACGTGCCCCGGGCGCTAGTCCTAAAGAGGTGCTAAATTTCTAATTATAGGAAGTAAAAAAAAAAAAAGGTTATTGATATAATAGGGTGCAAAATTCATATTTTGCCCCAGATTAAAAAAAATGTTAGATCCGGCACTGCCTATATAAATATGGTAATTATGGCAAATATTAATTGGGTCACAATTAAGATAAACGCAAAAAAAAAACTCGTTCCGTAACTTGTGGTGCAGCGCGAATACAAGAGGGGGATAAAGAATTGTAATCATCCTTTTTGAGACGTAACTAAAGTAATAAGTAGGAAGTAGGTACCTATGCAACTCTACAACCCAACAGTGTCAAATTAAGCACATTGACAACCGATGCACAAGATAATAATGCGCATTGAAATGACATTAAATTAGCTTTTTTTTTTTAGCTAGTTTATGATTTAAAAACATCATTACCTAATATAGAAATAATTTTAAGAATTATTTATACTCTACCTTCATTAATTTAAACTAATTCAAGTGTCTAAAACCTGTAAAAATGATTTAAGATCATCATTAATTCATAAAAAAAAAAAGGTGAAATTTAATTAATTCAATAATAATATAATATATTAATAGAATAATATGGAGTGAAAATGGAAAGAAACTATAAATTTTAAATACAATAAATTACAATAAATACAATAAATTCCTAAATAAACTACTTAAATTACACCATTGTAAATATATTATTATTATTAAAGTCTCATTAAAGTTTACTTGCGTGTTATATTTTTAAATCGATTTATCTAAAATTTTTTGGAAAAACTATCTATAGGTAATAGGCGCGTGTTCTTAAATATTAATGTATAGGTAAGTACTTACTAAGTGTTACATAAAATGTATTATTTTTTTTTTATTTTTGTGTGGCGCAGAAAAAATTGTTTGCTTGGTTATAAAATAATCGTAGCACATGCTATAGCTTACAGCAGGAGAGGCTCAAGTGTTTAAACACACCTAGGCAAACTTGAGTTTCGCCGACCCTAGTAAAACACCCTCATATAAAATTTTTAAAAATTATTTCATTACAAAAAATGTTAATTGCCATTCTATGCGTGGGCCTATGTTGCTCGCCTAGGTACCCCTTGAGCCGGGTCTAGCCTTCATGTAGTAGGTACAAATTCTATGTTACAATATATAACAACTAACAGCTAACAGTTTATAATGCACGCAGTTTATTGAATAAAAACGGGTTTAAATAAATCTATAAATCTGTTTATTCGTAATGCTTACGTAGGTATAGGTGACGGTAGGGAGGAAGGTCATACATTTTGGCGCGCTTGTAACTTGGTCATCATGGGTACTTGGTATTTAATAAGTACATATTATTATACTTATATCTACGTACAATGTACTCACGTTAGCGCGCAACTGCAGACATAAAAAATATATACAATTAATAAAACAATGATGATTGTCATCTGTCCAAATACCGGCGACGCCGAGGAAGTTGGCGCCGCGACGGTAATAAGTCACGACGCGCGCTTGCTATATAATGTGACAACCGCGACGTTCATACGAGGACAACGACCGCGACTATAGGTAGTTCATATATAATATACTAATGTCATATTTTATTATTATTTATTATTAGTATTATTTTATGGTTAGGAAGTTATGAATTCGATATTTTTATCCGCGTTTAACTAATTTATAGTTACCTAAGTAAATTACAAATCCATTTCATGCAAATTTCAACTTGTTAACTTTTGATTATTTTGAGTGCAATTTTGAATATTCTGTGATTTATTTTGTGAATTACAAATGCAACAATAAAATAAATATACGGAATTTTTTCATTCTATATTTCTATTTTCTTGTAAAAATTGTTCGTGTATATTACTGTATAGTGTATACGTATGTACCTATTGTAAATTATAATTTTATCTATAAAAATATTAAATTGTAATGATTTTGTTGTCATAACTAAGACTTTATTAGTATCACAATATAGCCTATGGGCGTTATTTCAGTTGATAAAGTGATGAAAATGTATGGGAAACACGCACCAATACGGCTTTGCGGTATCCACTCAATTACCTACTTGGCACCAAGTGATAATCTTGTTTTTAAATTCTGGGATTAATATATTCTAAAATCTGTACAATTTTTCATTTTTATATTTTGAAATCTTAAAAAAAAGTTGATTTAGTGCCATTTTGGTTACTTTTTACGGAAATATTTAAATACATTTTATAAGTCCTTTAGTGCAACAACTTCCGAATCCCAAATTCATAAATACGTAATTTATAAATTATTTATTAGTACAAATAATATTTATTTACTTTTTTGGCAAAACTTTACTACTACAATGTAAATTATCATTGCCGACGACGACCATCTGAAACAACATTGAATTGAGCACAACAATAATAATATGAAAATATTTGTATTATCAATGCCGTTGCAGATGTTGCAGTACGTTGTTTTTCGGGCAAAATCGTTTTTAAACACAAGTCGCTGTTTTCGAAACGCCGACACGAATGTTTTTGTGTACGCCTCGGACGTCCCTGGCACGTACAATATAAAATGCAAAATTCATTATTATTATTATTATCATCAACGCTCAAG